TTGGTTTTTTTAGTCAATGATAGAAGAGTCTCTGACATTTTGTCATAACTTAAAATGGACAAATACAACAAAGCAATAATAAACATGACACCTTAAAAACGTTATCTGTGTTTATGTTGTTTATGGAAATTTAAAACATGTTTTTAGGACTTATTATCTTTCTCTTTGAGACTTTTGCATGTAGTATTTTCTATTTTTAAGATGTTCTTGCCTCTTTTGTTGTCACGTCTTTCTGATTTTCATCAGAGCAAAGCAGCTACTGCTTTTTAAATAAACTCACTGTGATGGTCTTTACTTTAACATCTCACTATTATTACACTACATGTGTTTAAAATTAGAGATAAATTAACAATACCTGACAGCATCTTCATAGATCTATCAACAGACCTCTGCACTGAGTTTCTGTCCTTCGTCGGATCCTTGTCGTCTGTTCATCTGTCGTTCCGACAAACGGAACGACAGACGAACTGAGAACTGAATAGTCACAGTTCAACTGTGACTATTCAGTTCACAGTTGAACTGAATAGTCCTGTGTCGGCATCAGCTCTTTGTTTCAGTCTAACGTTTTATACAGTTGTGCTGAGCCTTAGCTTCTGCTCTGCTGTGCTGCCCGTCATTCTGGACTGTTTGAGCAAATTATTCATCAGTAAATTACAGGCAGACATCTTGGGTCTACCTGCCTTTCTCCTCACCTCAACAACCACAAATCATGACTTTGATAGTTTGATTGTTGTGTTACCATGGCTACAATATGATGTAATCTTTGTGTTTGAGCTGGTTTGTTCACAAATTCATCACAGCAAATAACTAATAATCAGTGATTGATTTTAAACTTAGCCAATAAACCTGGTCTCCCTCTCACAGACTTCATCTATATTTAAACATGCTAGTGATGCTGAGGTTATTAGTAGGAAGGGTTTCAGGGAGAGAGGGGTTTCTGTCTAAGGCCCCATATTACCTTGGACCGGCCCTGCATGAACAGCCGCTGCGATGCACATCTATGGAATCTGCCTGGAATCTACCTGGAATCTACCTGGAATCTACCTGGAATCCCCTGCTGGCCCCTGTGCCAGTCCTCTGATGCTTTGGGGTCGTTTTGATTCATTTAATTGCAGCATGTTTGGCTTTAAGCTGCTGTTCTAATTATTGCTACAGTATTTTCACTGATGTTTGTTTTGTGAACTCCAAATGGGCCGAATCTTCCTTTAACACTTGAGGTTCTGCAGTAACGTCTATTTACAGCCGCGAACCTCCAGCCCAGATCCCGTCAGCAGCAGCTTTAACCCACCTGGTACCACCTGGTACAACCTGGTACCAGGTGGTACCAGGGCTTTGAGGTGCATCGCAACTCGTAGTGACCGTCTCAGTATCGTGTCTTATATCAGGATATCTGATAAATATATTCTTTCTATCTGTCAGTGGGACCGACTCCGACTGCCTGTAGTGAATCAGGCTTTTAGCAGCCTGGTGAAGTTAAAGTCAGAAGTTTTCTCTGCAGCCGAAGCATTTCTGTGTTTAGGGGCGAGGCGGGATTTTTTTC